CATCCCATTACCCCATATTTTTAAATATTTAGAATCCTTTTATTTTTTAGGTCAAAATATTTTTTACATATTCTTTTTAATCTTCTCTGGGACATATTATAAAGCTATAGGCAATATTTTTGAAAGCTATAGAATTTGGCTCCTACATTGAAAGAAGTGATAATAATTTAGTTTAATTGATATTAGCATATTTTAAAAAATAGCTAAATGTTATCGCAAATAATTAATTTGAAATAACCCATTATTTCTGCACAAATTGTTCGTCAACAACATTATGGAATTACATTTATTAGTGAGCTGGCAAAAACCTGATACTTAGACTTTTGTCTTTAACCTCAAATTTCTCCAAAGGTAATGTATTAAGTTCTTCAAAATGACGGGAGAGATGAGGGGATTGAGGGAGGAAAGAAGGAAGAGAAAGAAGGAGAGAGAGTGTCAGAGAAACGGATACCAAGAGAAAAGTCACAGAGAGAGAGATAGGGTGGAGAAGGATTTTTAAGAATTAGTCCTTCCGTTGTGGAAACTCAGGCAGACCTACGGGCTGCAGACCAGGAAGAGTGAATATTTCCGTTGAGTCTCAAGCCAGTATGCTGTCTCACTTTCCTGTTTGATGCTGGAAAGTCAACAGGTTGGATGAGGCCTTCCACAGTGGCTTCCAGGGTTAACATTGTTCTTACCAGAGAGTGTGTGTGTGGGGGGTGGGGGGGTGGGGGTGTTGAGGGTGGATGACAGGGTGTCTCGGATCACAGTATGTCTCTGTTAACCTGACATGTGATTTTCATGTCACATCACTGGAGAATCTTATTTATTTGGTTTAAAGTAGAATCCTCAGTGGGCAAGTGTGATGAAAATTCTCAGGGCTCCTTCCCTTAGGGCGTTTGAAGGTCTTTCCTGGGGAGGGGACCGTGGTGTGCGTGGGCCAGCGTGGGCCTCCCACGTGCTAAGTATGGTCTTTATTTCTTCAAAACATCTCACAGGACCTCTGAGTATTTCTCTAACACTACGTAGTGCTCCGCATACCCAGTTGGTCAAGAACCAAGAGGCTGAGAAAGATTTGATGGCAGAATATTTTCCAGTGCCCCTAATAATGCATTTTGAAACAGGCTACCCAAGAAATGCTTCACCTGCCGAACTTATCAAACATATTTTACCATGAACCTTTATCCTACATGATCTATTAATCAATGTTTCTCCAAGTAGGTTGAGATCAGCAGTTCTAGTCCAATACGGTCAATCACAGAGGGAAAAGGGAAGGTTAAGAAGGTCGCCATAGCCAAAGTCACACATTTTAATAACAGCAATTCAAGCAAAAGGCCTGGGTCTCTTTTGGGGGGATGTGTTTCTCCTTTCCTTCTGCTGTATAAATAACAGCATTCTTTCTGAGTCTCCATTTAAGTTTTACCTGTGTCACTACCATGGTTATCGAAATCTGAAAGTTTAAGGGCCAGGATTTTGGCTCAGCAGTTGATGACAGGTCTCAGATGACTCTTGGTTCGACGCCTGGTACCAACCCAAACAGAATAGAATCAGTGCCCTTTTAGTTAAGGAATTCATCGCTGTAGCGATTACAGAGTTTTCCTTGGACACGCAGTGACAGAGAAGAGCTTATCACTCTCATTACCGTTCCCTTAAAACGCCACTTGGCATGCCTGAACGTCAGCTTTCTCCAGTGCCAGCTGCGGAGGCTCTGATAGAATGACAGCCCTGAATTGGTAAATCACAGGGTGTGAATGATGTAAAGGTGGCAGTCACCACTCTATTAGTGTCCCCATAAGGAAGCCGAGAACTTCTCGTCGATCTTCTCGAAAACTTGGATAAAAATTGAGACAATTTTATCATCGTCTAAAAATAAAGCGTTTTAAGAATCGCAAATAATAACACGTCATGGCACAAATGTTCTCAGCGTCGCTGCTCAAAGATAGCATTTCTCATTTGAAGCACAGTCGCAGGATGGTCCTGCTAAGAACTGGTAAATTGTAAATTTTATTAGTTTATGCGATGCCTACTAGGGCAGCAGAAATAAGTTCCCAACAACATTCATATCACCAAGTTTTCAAATATGTAAATGTTCTGAGCACTGAATACTAATTACCCCATTCAGGAATGCTCAGTATGCATCCTGAATGAAAAAGAGGTGAACTTTCCAGGTGGGATGTGTGAATTTCTTACACATGTCATTGTAATTTTTGATATGTGTCGCTGGTGAAAGGGAGAGAGAGAAACTCATAAAGACTTTTTACAGGACATAGTACTGTTTGTCAAATACACTTTTTTTCACTATCCAAAAGTACAGTATTCCTACTTGGTATGAGTCCATAGATTCTTTTCTAAATCTGGAAAACTATAAGAACTTTTCCTATAAGTTCATGCTAATAAGGAACTCCCCAAATCACCATACCAAATCATACCAAGTAGTAAGTTTCTTCTTTTTTTTTAATTTCTTTTATTCATTTTTATTTGTTTGCTTTTTGGGTCACATCCAGTGACATTCTTCTGGCTCTGAACTCAGGAGTTACTCCTGACAGGGATTTGGGGACCAGATGGGATGCCGGGGATTGAACCCCGGACGGCTGTGTGCAAGGCAAACACCCTCCCCATTGAACTATCATTCCAGCTGAGTTCTTCTTTTAGATGGTAGAGGAAACCTGTGCTTCCTTTCGATTTACTTAAACTTTTATTTTTCATACATCCATACACACTGATACAAATGCACACATGTAGTAAAATGATAATTTGTTGCCAGAGTATCTTCATCTAAAATAATCTGGTTTCACACTCTCACCATCTCTGAAATATTTTATTCTAAGTTTAAAATGTGACGCTCCACCCCCCCACCCCACCCCCCGCCAAAAAAATCTCTAAAATGCACATGAACTGTCAAATACAGCTTTTCAGCATTGAGTCTAAGATGCTTATCTTGTAAATTTCATAGTTTAGGTAATATGATTACAATGGCATTAAAGTGTATGATATTGATATGCAGAATGACTGCACCAACCACCCCCAAACGCTCATGACTCTCCATCATCCTGCTTGTGTAACCTTCGTTATGTCTCTCTATCGCCCCCTACTGTTTCTCAGTCAGTTTTGTAACTCACAACCAAGTTGTTCCTCATAGTTCAGCGCTGTCTATTCTCTTGTTTAGGATATTCTGTGATCATTTTAGAGGTGCCTTGCAGACTTAGATTCTGTTTCTCAGAAACCTTCCAATATACACCACTTCCATAATAATGTGATTTTCTATATTTTCAACAGGCATGGGTTTCCAGAGCACCCCCAAAGAGAAGGGACTGAAAACTAATGCTCCAAATTTGGGTTTGTTAATATATGATTTTCCTTTTCAAATTAAAATCTGTTATGCTCTTTGGCATCAAAACATGGGAAGACGGTTTATAAACAAACCAGCCTGGAAGTTCTGCTACCACATAGCTTTTAAAGGTTGTAGCTAAGCTTAACAACTCCCATCTATGAAGAGGATGGGTCGATTCCTAGAATATCAAGCTTTACAATGTTGGAGCCAGAAGCATTGTACCTGCAGTTTCAAAGTAAACCAAATGCCTGAATAGATATTGATCTAAATCAGTTTAGCCTGGCAATATTATCTCTCTTGTGATATGGCTTAACTTTTTACCATAACATAGATTCACTCTTGGAATGCTTCCAGTGTTCAGATGGCCGAGGGGAAAACATTACAGAGGCAGGTACTTGTACCTACAGGCTACACCTACGCATTAAACTCACTGCATAGTCAGCTTGGGTGAAATTAGAGAAAAAACTGCCCAAGCATGTCAAATGTTTAAGCTTTAAGACCCTGGGTGGAATAAAACAAAAGAGGAAGGAATCCAGGGGTGCTTTAGCATAATCAAGCTGGCTCATGCCACTGAAGGCACAGCTGGGATTGAGAGTTTAACTGCTGTGAGGAAACTTGTAATTGTATCCAGTCCCAGAGTAACCAGTGGACATGTGGAGTGTGTGTGTGTGTGTGTGTGTGTGTGTGTGTGTGTATGTATGTGTGTGCCGGGGAGGGTGGCAGGGTGTTGAGGGGGAGTTGCAGAGAAAGGGTGGTTAACATTTCCCTGCTAAGAAAGCAAAGAGCGAGAACAAATAAATCCTACACTAAGCAATGTTTCTCATTTCTTTTCTATTAATGATTAATATCTTAAATATTTCTTTGCTCCCCATGTTTTAACATCACTTGTGAATTACATACGTAAGGCTGATTGGTGTCCATCATAGTCAGACTCTTTTATTCTATATGAAGTCTATTTGAGGATTCCAAAAGTGCAGTTCAATGCAATAATATTGTCCTTAAATGTCCTACTTTTAATGCAAAAAAAAAACCTGCTTTGAGAATGAAAAAATATATATATCAAATGTCTTCTGCACTCCACAGAGCTGACATCTTGCAATGCAATTCACTGGGTTTAAACCTGGTATTAAGAAAGTAACATTCTACTTAGTTTCTATAACTCCCATGCTTCCATTTTAAAGGATTTTTTCAATGCAGTTCTATTTAGTGATTTTTGTCATTTAGAAATATTGACTGACAGCAAAGTAGCTGTATGAGAGGAAAATGGTTGTGGTCAATAGAAATTTTAAAAAATATATTCAGAGACTCTAATATCCAGAGGCATATCAAATATATACTTACCACATACATTTGAATTCAGAAATGAGAGTTAGCTGGATGGGGCAAATTGTTATATAAATCAAAAGAAGGAATATATCTGGTGCTAGAATAAGTCATTAATAAAACCCTAATAATGATAGTTTTTTTGTTTTTAAAGTAAACTTGGATCTTATTACAGAAAACTTTTGCATGATTTACTTTTCAATAGTCTGTTCTGTCACGCTTCTAATGATATCAGAATCACCTAGAAAATAAAACACAGTGATTTTATATTTAGTAAGATTGGTAATGCTCAAATTGACGGCAGTTATCTCCAAAAGTATTCTAATCACTGTGCCAGATACTCAGAGTCACAGCTCCTACAGACTTGATTTATCACCAGCATTTCTAAGACCAGACTTAGGTAAGTAAAGACCTAGGTCTGGGGACAAATGTGTGGTCTTATTAAAGCAAATGGTTAGACTGCCCTGAATATTACAAAATCAGAATATCTAGAATTTTTGCAGGATAATAGTTTCTAAACCATGATGCTGTAGCACTGAAGCACTGTCCTCCCATTGCTCATCGATTTGACCAAGCGGGCACCAGTTAGCATCTCCAATGTGCGACTTTTTGTTACTGGTTTTGGCATATCAAATATGCCATGGAGATCTTGCCAAGCTCTGACGTGTGGGCAGGATGCTCTTGGTAGCTTTCTGGGCCCTCCGAGAGGGATGGAGGAATCTAACCCGGGTCGGCCACGTGCAAGGCAAATGCCCTACCTGCTGTGCTATCACTCCAGCCTGATGCTACCATGATGTAGCGTCATGTAAATCATGTTGCTACAAATGAAAATATTTATTAAAATCGAAAAGATCTAAACTTTCTAAAATTGAAAAAACTTGTAAGTTTATAGGAACAAACCACTTCTACATTAAATATTCCTGGGAGCCAGAGAGATAGCATAAGCAGGTGAGGTACTGGCCTTGTATGTGGCCAGCCCCAATTCCATCCCCATCACCACATACGGTCTTAGCTGACCACCAACAGAAGTGATCCATGAACACAGATCCAGAAGTAAGCCCTGAGCACCTCTCTTGGTAATCCCCCCCAAAAACAAACTAAACTAAATTCCTGAATATTATCACTGTGGTATTTGACCTACACTACCCTAGTTTTACCAAAACATTTAGTTATTTTTAACATTTATAAAATCTTATGAAATTTTATTTATAAAATTTGATTTATAAAATTTTATAAAATTTAAAATAAAATAAAATAAAGGGAAAAAAATTTTATAAAATTTATAAAATATAATTTATATATTTTTGTAAAATATCATCACTGTTATCACTGTCATCCCGTTGATCATCAAATTACTCGAGCAGGTGCCTGTAACGTCTCCATTCCTCCCAGCCCTGAGATTTTAGCAACCCCTTCTTACTCATCTTTTCCCAATGATTGGAGGCTCTTTCAGGGTCACGGGAATGAGACCTGTTGTCGTTACTGTTTTGGGAATATCAAATATGCCACGGGGAGCTTCCCAGGCTCTGCCTATGGGGGCCAGATACTCTCGGTAGCTTGCCGGGCTCTCCGAGAGGCATATATTTATATATTTTTCTCTATAATTTGTTGCCTGTTGTCTGAACCCCATCAGATATGGTGTAGTAATTGTGGAAAATGGATACGAAGTGTCTTATAATGGGTCCGGAAAGTGGCTTGGAGCGTGGCAGTGGTTGGATAGTGGTCAGCTGCTGGGGCTGGGTCCCTTTTATAATTATAAAATATAATTATATTTTTTAATATTTCCCAAATCAGATGTCATAGTTAAGCATTGTGAAAAATTTCTGATAATAATTTTAAGTGAAATTATAGATGATTCTCCATCATTTATCATACTATTCAAAGACAGTCTGCACCCTATTAAAAGCTTCCTATGTTGACTTTCATTCCTGAAATCTAACATCTGATTGCTATAGCAGGATGAGCTAACTTTCAGATTCTTGAGGACAGTCTAGAAGATAGTGCACTGACCATGAAGTATCAGTGCTATAGTGCTTTCATTACTCAGCTCTTTATTTTACAGCTCATGTAGAACTACCTGTGGGGCTGAAACAACCACAGAAATAGGAACCTTTGCATCAGAAGAGCAGCCCACATAGAGCTATTGTCTTATTAGTTGAATATTATGTAATGAGGCTTTGTGGGGTGATCCATGAGGTTGCATACGCTCAATGCCAATTAAGTTTTGTGGCATGATCAATTGGAGGTCGTGGTTATCTGGTCCCTCCTTCTTCATTTTCTGCATGACCATCAATGAATTAGTATAATCCTTAGAGTGCTTGGCATTGTTCACCCTCAATTAGCAGCTTCCCATGACTGCTTTGTATATAAATTTTTGTATTAGAGAAGCAACTATAATATTGTTTGGCCAAAAAAATGCTTGGTGGTGGCTGGAGTGAGAGCATAGCAGGTAGGTCATTTGCCTTGCATGCAGCCGACCTGAGTTTGATTCCCAGCATCTCACATGGGCCCCTGAACAACGCCAGGAGTAATTCCTGAGTGCAAATCCAGGAGCAACCCCTGAGCATTGCCAGGTGTGACCCAAAAAGCAAAAAAAAAAAAAAAAAAGAAAGAAAAGAAAAGAAAGAAAAAGCTTGGTGAAATCATGCAGCATTTCTAAAAATGGATTTCATTCTAGAATTTCTCTGGGAGTTTAGAGAAGTATACGATCTGCATCATAGAGGTTCTATGAATAATTGAAAGAACGCACACCCATCTTGACTTTAGCTGCTGGCAAACAGTAGAAATTTAATTAATAAAAGTATTTTTATTTACTGTTAGCATTACACCACTGTAGTTATTCCGAGAAACTCATTCATTAAAAAAATTATTTAACTGACTTATTTATCGCCAGACATTTATACAGTTTAATATTAATAAAGCAATTAGGATGTTCTAGGTACAGACATACAGGGATAGCATACATATATAACATTATGTACTCATATAATAATGCATTAATATTCTCATGGTTCTCTTCCATTATAAACTAAATCTTAGTAATTCTTTTTAGAAGTTGTGCATTTAGCTTGGAAGAACTAACGAAAGTCATTTCAAACCATTAAGCATATTTAAAACCAATGAACCAGTTTGTGGCTTTATTGTAGCCTAATCTAAGTTTTTTTTCAGTTGGCTTAACATTGAAATTTTTGAAATTAAAAAAAAAACAACTAGAGAGGATGTTATCAGAAGGAAAGCAAGTTCAATGCATTCATATACACAAATCTCGGGCATAACGTAGTTATAGATTAACAACTGATTTTGTATCATACAGACTCGTTTCTGAAAATTATTCTATCATTAACAGACTAATCTTAGAAAAAAAGCACTTTTACTCATTTTTCCCCTCCACGTACTTATAATATTTACAACAGTAATACAGTATTTCTGTAACAATCACTTAGTATATCCAACCTCATGCATGATCAATAAATATTACTGGTTGCCATACTATTGATGAGTGTTTGTTACATTTAGTCTACCAAAAGTAATGAGAATAGAATAATACTAAATTATCTAGTAATAAATAATGAAGGTGAAAATAGTTCAAGATGACGTATCTATAGAAACTGTACTTTGTTACATCTAGATCGACTGAAATATTTTCTATTTATAATCATAAGTGTTCTGTTATGTTCACTTTAAGCTTTCTTAGTAAATTTTTAACACACCACTACTACTATTTTTTAATATAAATTATAGATTTAACTGAACTTTGGGTATTTGGATGTCTTTATTTAGTTTGTTGGTTTTTGGTCACACCTGGTGGTGCTCATGAATTACTTCTGGTTTTGTGCTCAAGGAACACTCCTGGCAGGGCTCGGGGGAACTTATGTGGTGCCAGGGAACAAAATAAGGTCAGTTACATGCAAGGCAAGTACCTAATCCACTATAGTATCTCTTGTCCTTGGATAACTCTGTTGTTCTTGATTTAACAAGTGTCATTAAAGCTTTTGATCGTTATTATCTTCTGATACTATCATATAACTATTATAATTAATTAATTACCATAACACCATGCATTGGGTTATATTTCTATTTACTGGTAAATTTTGGCAATGACTTTTTGATTTATGTCATTTTATACATGGTTATTGTGCTTCTGGAGAGTCTAATTTGTTCTTTTGAGCTTTATGTAAATTTTTTATAATTACTATCTTCTTATTACAAGTCTGCATGATTTATTATCCAGTAAAGAATGTTTTTTATTTTCACTCTTTTTTTCCCAAATGCTAATGTCTGGCCTCATTAAGTTAATTTTCCAGATGTGTTCTAAAATCATTTTGCCAAAACTAATCAAGAGAGTACTTAACATATCCTCAAAGAAAAATGGACACCTCTAAATAATTTGGAATTCTTTTGTAGCTTTTAGTAAAAATCTTTAGTTTCAGTCATCTGACCTTTGATCACGTTTTGAAAGATTGGACAGGTGTCAGGGCTGAGTTACAGTACGGTGGATAAGGCATCTGCCTTGCATGCAGCCAAACTAGGTTCCATCCCAGCTACCCCATCTGGTTCCCTGAGCCCTAACAAATGTAATCCCTGAGCACAGAGCCAGGAGTAGACCCAAGCACCATTGGGTAAACTTATTAAAACATTCCTTTAAGAGTGCGGGGATTTGATAAGACTGATGGTTTTTTTCTTGGTTTTCTTTTAAACCTCTTAAAGTGGTTGGCAGGGAACTCAAAGTATAAGCATGTCATTCTTCAACCTTTGATTGTTCTCTCTGCTTAAAATTTGAGTGCTGATTCTGTGCTGTCTTGCTCAAGATTGCCCCAGGCTGGTTTATATCTTGCGAACTTTTATTACAGCTCCATGCCATAACCCGCAAACTTAAATCAGGACACGCAAGTTGCAACTCGTTGGAATATTCTAACTGAACTGAAGACTGAAATTAAGACCCCAGATAACCTCTCTCCCACCAATATGAGAAGTGCCCAGATATCCCTCTTGCATTCTGCCTTGTGGCTCACCTTCTGGCTCAGGAGGCCAGTTTCTACTGCTGGTCCGTACAGGAAACATTAGGGGGGCTGTTTCTTTCTTCTTAGTTTTAAATTTAGCATCAAATGGAAATTTTCACAGTCCTGATCCAAATCCTTTGAAGACATTATATATCATAGAATGGTGAAAAAGGAACGGAATCGTCTATTTACTTTAGGTCATTCCTTCTCCTGGTGAAGATATTTAAGCTCTATAAATTTGCGTGAAGATTTCCGAATTTAGAAATTCTAGCCATGGGTGAGATGTGTGTTCGTGGGGGCCACATGTATCTGAAAATCCGGGGGGAGGGGAGCACGTGGCAAGCGAGAGCAAAGATTCACCCCCAAAACTGCCCTTCTTCCAAAAGCTCTGCTCACCACCAACTCTTCATCTCCATTCAAACATATTCAAACATAATTAGTGTAACATTAAAATGGAGGAACCGTTGTAATTGCCAGTTGTTCTGTAGCCATGGTTACATCAA